CGACCGGACGACCTTTGGAACAACATGTTGGTTCACATCGTCGCGCAGAAGCTCGACCCGGTCACCCGCAAAGCGTGGAACTTAAAGGAAGGAGACAAGGATGATCCGCCTTCCTACGATGATCTCCGCCGTTTCTTGGACTCGCGCACTCGCGCTCTAGAGAACTTTTCCCCCTCGCCGTCGGCTAAGGCTGCTCCGAAAGCCGCCACCGCCTCGCGCATCCATAGCGCAACCGCCTCCGCGAACTCACAAGCAAAGTGTCCTTTATGTCCCGCGCCACATTTCATTAACAGTTGTCCCACATTCAGCGGGAAGAATCCGAGTCAACGTCGCGACATCGTCAAGCAGCACAAACGTTGTTTCAACTGCCTCAGCGCGAAGCACTCTGTCCAAGCTTGTCCGAGCAAATACTCTTGTCGCGTGTGCCAACAGAAACATCATTCGATGCTGCACGTCAACACGGATTCTTCCTCGAAATTAGCTGAAGCTGACGCGCCCGACAGCTCGTCAACTGTAACGCCGGACCCGAAATGCGATGTCAATGCTTTGTCCGCTTCCCATACCACGCGTCACAAACCGTCGGTTTTGTTAGCGACAGCGTGGGTGACGGTGAGCGTAGAATCCGGTCGTTCCGCCGTTGTCCGAGCCCTGCTCGATCAAGGCTCCGAGATGACCTTCATCTCGGAGAACCTTGCGCAAACTCTACGAGCGAGGCGCGTTCGTCAACCGATCTCCGTCTCCGCCGTTGGCGGCGTCCACGCCGGGACTTTTACGCACATAACGCGTGTTTCCGTTTCCCCACGCCAATCTCTCGTTCCGTCGTTATCAACCACCGCGCTCATATTAAAATCTTTGACCTCTTACACTCCCAAACAAAGCATGGATCTTTCTTCCCTATCTCACTTGTCCGATCTACAGTGGGCAGACGAGGATCCCACCAGTCTCTGCCCCATCAACATTATAATCGGAGCAGATCTTTACAGCGACATAATTCTTGACGGTGTTCGAAAGGGAAATCCCGGGCTGCCCCTCGCTCAGAACTCCATCTTAGGCTGGATCATTTCGGGACCGATCGATGCGTCCTCGCGGGACGACCGCTCTAACCCCTCGTCGGTCAATCGCGCCCTCCCGAGTATTTCCGCTCATCATTTGTTTAATTCCCCGACATTGGAGGCGGAACTCCGCCGGTTCTGGAAGGTCGAAGAGCTTCCGCAAAACCCGACTCCCGCGCCCGAAGACGTTCTCTGCGAAGAGCATTTTTGCGCCACTCATTACCGCGACCCCGACGGTCGATACGTTGTTTGTCTCCCCTTTAAGAAAGGCCCTCCGATCTCCATCGGCGAATCCAGGCCCCGCGCCGAACAAATGCTAAAGGTCTTGACGCGCCGGTTCCGGGATAAACCCGCGTTCGAAAAAGAATATCGCGAGTTCTTGGAAGAGTACGAACGATTAGGACACATGCGACTCGCGGCCACTCCTTCGGATCAAACCGAGCAACACGTGTACATTCCGCATCACGGCGTCATCCGCGAAGGCAGCTCTACCACCCATCTCCGGGTGGTGTTCAACGCTTCGTCAGTCACCTCCAACGGAACTTCCTTGAACGACCACTTACATGTCGGTCCGAAACTGCAACGCGAGATCACGGCTATCATTATGCGATGGCGCCAGTACCGCTACGTCTATTCGGCTGATATCGCGAAAATGTATCGCCAAATTCGTATCGATTCTCGCGACGTGAATTATCAGCGCATCGTTTGGATTCGGTCATGCCTCGAGCCGTTAGTTTCCTTCATATTGCTCACAGTAACGTACGGAATGATATGTGCGCCCTATCTAGCCCTACGCGTTTTGGAGCAACTTTGCCTCGACGAAGGTCAAAACTTTCTTCTCGCGACCCTTATTTTTCGCGACAACATTTATGTCGACGACGTGTTGTTCGGTGCTGACGATACCTCTCGCATACGGCAAGCGCGTGATCAGCTCGTGTCATTGTTGCGACGCGGCGGCTTCGAATTAAGGAAATGGGCTAGCAACAGCCCCTCCCTTCTATCGGATCTCGACGCCGCCGATCACGGCCTCGCCTGTCACAAACAACTCGCGCAAGACAAACAGGTCAAAATCCTCGGCATAGGGTGGAATCCGGCCACCGACATGTTCGAATTTCGGGTATCACTGTCGGATGTCACCCCGAATAGCAAACGAGCCATTTTATCCGCAATCGCCAAGCTTTACGATCCCCTCGGCTGGGTCACTCCAGTAACAATAACGGCAAAAATATTTATGCAACATCTCTGGCGCGCGCGAATCGCATGGGACGACGCTATCCCGGAAACCCTCCTCCCAAAATGGCGGGAGCTGTACTCTCGATTATCTCACCTCAGTTCACTCCAAATTCCTCGCTGGACCGGGCTTCGCGCGGACAACCTTCGCGCTGATATTCACGGGTTCGCGGACGCATCGAACGTCGCGTACGCCGCGGTCGTTTATCTCAAGGTTGTCTCCGCGTCCGGTGAAATAACGGTCACTCTGCTCGCTGGAAAGTCAAAAGTCGCGCCTCTCCAGCCACTGAGCGTTCCCCGGCTCGAGCTTTCCGCCGCATTGCTCCTCGCGCGGCTCATACACTTCATTCGCGAGTCCCTCGATTTCGCTCGCCTACCGTATCATTGTTGGACAGACGCGAAGATCGTACTCGCCTGGTTTAAACAGCATCCTTCGCGCTGGAAAACGTTCATAGCGAACCGAGTCGCGGAAATTCAATCCCTGCTGCCGCGCGCGGAATGGCGCCACGTGCCCACGGAGGACAATTCGGCCGATTGCGGCTCGCGCGGAATATTCGGTGATGAGATACTGGGTCACGACCTATGGTGGCGCGGGCCTCCATGGCTGACCTCCGACGCTGACGGATGGCCGTGCGGTGAAGCGACTTTGCCTCCGGACGCTCCCCTCGAGGAAAAGGTTACGGCCCTGCAAAGCGTCGATCCGCTACCGGACTTTGATCTCGCCTCTCGCTATTCCTCGTGGCCGAAGCTGATTCGCGTTACCGCTTACATCCTGAAATTCATTCACCTGTGTCGAGCGCCTTGCTCTCGCGCCACGCCGCTCGCCCCTCCGCCGCCTAATAATCCCGCGCCGCGAAGCACCGCTCTGTCTACCTCCGATTGCAACGCCGCAAAAACCTTTTGATTTAAACGCATACAAAACGAGTTGTTCGCTCCGGAAATTCACGTCCTATCGAAAAACCAAGCTGTCGCCTCCAGCAGCTCGCTCTTAGCGCTTCGACCATTTTTGGACAAAGACCGGATTCTACGCGTCGGGGGGCGCCTGACTAAATCTCCCTTTCCGTTCTCGTTTCGTCACCCGATACTCCTCGCTTCCCACCCCTTAGTCACGCTCATTGTGC